TGCAATCATTGATTCTCCTTTAGATGATAACATATTATTCGATACTAAAAATTCTTGAACTTCAACAATATTTTTTGGAATATTTGTTTGTGTGTTTCTACACGGGTACATTCTGTCACGAATTAATTTAACGTCACCGTAATCTAACGTGTCAAAATTATTCTTTGTAATTTCAGAACGTATAATTTTAATTGGACGATCAGTCATGTCTTTGGCTCTTTTTTTACACGCACTTCGAATAATTTGACGATTTAATTTTTTTCATCAGTATTATGGTTATGATTTAAATTGCTACTTACAGTTACATTTCCATTTTTAATTATTCTTGCTAAACACGATTTCATTGTACAACGCCAAGTTACATTACCAGATATACTTTCATAAACTTTTCTGAATTTAAAACTGTCGATTATAAGTAAATCTTTAAAATTGTTACTCGCACCTTTTGCTAATAAAATTTTATTTTCTGTCATTTTTGAAACAAAATACACCAAACTGAAATGTGTTATTAAGTGAAGTACAGCGACGACTGACTATCTGCGATCGAGATTTTAGAAATACCGACGTAAAATGCCGTATATCGACAATGTAGATAAGAAGTTAGATATGATTAAAGATAAGTATCCTATGAAGGTATACCTATCGAGTCACGACTGATATAGAAATTCAATTTCCCAATATTTCACAGTGGTTCAAAACTGAAAATAGTTGGGAAAACGTTGTTGCCAAATTTATTGATTTGTAACGTTATGTGCGCAAACAAGTATTTTAACGTATTTTAAGCGCAATCGAGGTTTTTGCGTATAGGCGCAAATACGGCATTTAGGCGCAAACACAGTCCACCCATTTTTTTTTGCTTGTAGTATAGGTGCAATTCGTACAACCCAAAAATTTGTATGGTTATTATTTACCCTGTAATAGTGTAATATAATGTTTTTTCAAATACAAAACTATAAAAAAATCACTATTTATTTAGTTAAAATGTTCAGAATTCGGTTTGGAAACATTATAAATTAATTATAACTAGGTATAACTTTTAAATTAATATAATCTATTCTACAATTTATTATCAATGACTATTAATTGAAGGTTACTTAGTTGAAAATAACACTAGAAATTCAACGTATTGAATCAAAATAATATAGGCACCTATAGGCACCTATAGGCACCTATATAGGGTAAATAGACTTAGAACTTTAATTGATAAGTAGGTATATTAAATGTTTATCCATAGTCATCTTATTACTTATTACTTAGGTATTATCTATGACAAACTTTTTAATAACCATTTTTAATGAAAAACATAAGGTACTAAAACATATTTTATACACTACAATTCTTTCAATTTGTAATAATAATTAAAGTATTTATAGATACCTTAAGTATCTAGCTATTAAGGTAGGTATAAATAAACAATTTTACTTTAATACTGTAATAAAGCAAAAATATCTGCTAGTATAGTGGTATTAATGAAATATTACATTACAATAATATATTAACTAATAGTCAGCGGCGGATTGGCACACCGGGATACCGGAAAAATTCCCGGGTGTACTTGGATTACAAATCCATTCAATTTAACTGCGTGCCTGCGTTGTTTGCTGTCGTATATTTGAGTCAGGATTTCGAATGTAATTTTGGCTGCACTAAGTAGTTTAGATGAGATAATTTATATTTTATTTTAATCGGAAATGTATGTCTAACGTCAACACTCACAACAGTAATGCGCCTGTACTAGCTGGCTACCCAACAGCTGTTGGCTAGCCCTTACGAATTACGTATACAGTATTGGAGAAAATTGTATCTAGTGACTAGTACTGCAGTAATACAGGACAACTATTACTGACTACTGACATTAGTACTAATAATATTTAATAACTAGTACTACATTACCACTGGTGCCGAATGAATACTGAATAGTGAACCAGTGTATCTTAAAGTTGCGCCAAGCGTTGGCCGAGTACTATATTACGGCCTCAATAACATGATAATTATAATATAATTATTAATTAATATTATGTGCAACTATCAGACCTATTATTATGTTAATATAATATAATACTACTGTGGCTAGTGGCTCTGTGTTATTAATAAAATAATACTCAGAGCAGTATATGTTGTCTTCGTTATACAGACGTGGAACATAATATTAGGAAATAATTTTATAAAATTTTTTTAATATTTTATATTCTGAGCGGAGAGATGAATGTATTGATTTTATAATGATGTGTTTCTTTTTAAAAAAAATGTTGTGACTACCATCACTTTTTGAGGCATTAAAAATGATTTGATTTTCTATTTTAAACTCTTTTTTGATAGGAAATTGATTATAGTTGGTAATTCGGGTTATCATAAACAAAAGTTACACACTCCCATGTTAAACGTATAGATACTATATTAAATTATAAATAAGAAGAAAAAAATGTTTTTATGGAAAATTATTATTAATTATTATAATATAGATTATAGGTAATATTGGGTGTGCCTGTCACACAGTAATTTCCCGGGTCAATCCAGCGCTATTAACTAGGATGTTATAGTTAAGCACTTAACACTTTTAATAAAATATAAATTATAGACAATGGAACATACAACATACTATTACAGTATTACCTACTATAATAATATTATACAAATATCTGGGATAGTGAATATAGATTTGGTAAGAGTTATTTATATCATTTGATATATTATGTATATTTAATATTCATTGAAAACTTTATATTTTTTAAATTTTATTGTTTTGTGTTTTTAAGACATCTTTATACACTTGATAGATATTTTAATGATCACTTACTTGTGTACCTGCTTGAAGTAAACAACTATATTCCTTCATCGTAGTGATTCTAAAGTATGAAAGCTATGAGTGGTTGAATTTAAGACTTACTTTATAATTATTATACACAAATACACAATATGCCTTATGAGTTAGGACGATGGCAGTAAAACAGTAATAACTAAACTTTGGTATGATTTTCTAAATCAGAACACAATTTTCAATCAAATATATTATATATTTCAATAACCCATGAAAAATATAGAGAAAGAGTTGACAAATTATATTATAATGTCAAATGCATAGGTCTACAAAACATTTTTAAAATGATTTTTATTAAATATTATAATAGATTTTTTATGCATGGTTTTATAGGTACCCACCTAATAGAAAAAAGGTTAATCTAAAATAACCAACATTTTGTTAAATATTTGGTTGGATTTAAAATTAATTTTATTTACAATTGTTATGAAAACATAAATATTACAATAAAAATAATCTAAATGTAACATAACTAACATATTCACAAAATAAATTATAGAAATTAATGTAAATATTTAAAAAGTTATGAAAATTAATTCAAATTACATTATTTTCTTATTTTTATCTCTTGAGCCAAAAAAATACCCATTAAATTCTGGTTTTTTAACCATGGCATGTGGTTTTTTTCGTTTGGACTCGTGAACATCTTGATCTTCATCTTGACCTTCTGCATTATCAGAGTTTTCTTCACTTTCTTGTTGATACTGAGGACGCTCAACAGGTGGTTCTTCTTCATTTTCACCTCCTACTTCTCTTACACCTTCTCCTCCACCTTCTTCTTCATCTTCTTCTTGAGGAGGTACAGTGTTTTCCTCTTCTCCACTTTGTTCTTCAGGCCTCTCATCAACTTCTTCCTCCACAGGTATTTCTGTAGTTGTAGTAGTTGTCGTTGTAGTTCTTCGTCTTATCTAAAGAATTTAAATAAAAATATTAACATAATTAATTTAAAAAAAAAACCATTTAATACTATACCAACCTCTTTTTTTTTTGGTCGTATTATTTTTGGACAGACAGCTTTTTTTGGTGGTTCCTTTACATCTTCCTTAATTGATTCTTTATTTGGAAGTCTTATTTTAAATCTATGATCTATAGTAGGGCCTAATACGTTTCTGAACAAATCTTTAGTAGACCCTTTAAATCCAAATTTTCCAATAGATTCTTCGGCAATACCATCCTTAATTTTTTTTTCTAAATAGACAGGACCATTCGTTAATGCAGATTTAGTGTCTTCTTCATTTTTCACTTTTATCACTTGCATCCATTTCCCAACACCAGTATCTGGATTAATAACATATATCAATGAACCTTTTTTATCGAATTGTGGGCGTTCTATGTCGTTTGTACTATTAGCTACACTGTCGTTGTAATTAATAATTTTAGTTTTGCTGTCTCCAAATGCTATTGCTGGTATGAACTTTGGCGTTGATTCATACCTAGGTGTAGTAGAAAATGCCACGTTTATTTCCTCAGGTAGAGTTTCAGAATTTTCCTGATCTGACACCAAATATTTGCTGCTGAATACCTGACCACTTCTACTATAAAATGGAGGATTGTGCACTACCCTTTTAACTCTAACTCGTGGTCGTTCAGTATGATAATAATACCGTGGCTCTTTTCTTCTTACATCCACATTGACTGAAACATGGTCTCTTTTTTCTCGAAACCAAGAACTGTTTTGTGGAGAATACATTCTTACACTAGCAGTAGGTGAGGATACACTTACATTGGTATTGTTGTAAATATTTAATTTTCTCTGTTTTGGTTTTTGTAAATCTACACGTTTCATATTTCTTTTGGTTCTTCTATAATTTTGCATTTGAAATCTATTTACTGTTTCACCACTGTTTTTGTCCACCATTGTTGTGGTCTTAAGTTTAGCAGAGGGTGTCATTTTAATATTAAAAAAATTGTGAACAATAGGTGAAACCATGACGTCATCTTCGTCAGTAAAAAAAGAAGTAATAGGACTAAGGACATCAAGCAAATCAGCATCATTTGATTCGTCATTCACTTTTACTTTTTTCAACACTTTTTTTACCATGGGTTTTTTAATTTTTTGAAGTTTTTTAAACTTTTTTGTTATTTGTGGTGGTGGAAGAAGGCCTTCAATTTTATTATCTATTAAATTGTTATTTCTCATATTAGATTCTTGTTTTGGAACAGGGTGTTGAACCGAGTATTGTAAGACATGCTCATCATTCGAAGAAACGTCAGAATCACTATCTTCTGATACTATTTTCGTGTCATTGTTATAGACAACTGTTGAAGCTTTTGTTGGAAATGTTAAAATAACTGGTTCTGGTATAATTGATTCCATACCTTGAATTTTATGATTAATTGGTAAACTTTTATTATCTGATCTGTGAAAAAATTAATTAAAATTTTGAATTAACAATTTTAAGTTGACAATTATTGTTTTTATGATTTAAAAGTTACCTTCGATTTCGTACATCCTTATCAGGAAACCAATGATCAGAAATTAGTTCATCTGCAAAATTCCAGTCCACGTGTGGCTTGCCTGGTTGAATACCACCTTCTTCCTTTTCTGGAGGTTTCTTCACAGAGAATAATACATCAGGAAATCCAACATCTTTTTCTTTAAAGATAGGATTATCTAAAGGATCACTACCAAAATATTTTGTTTTAAAGCATCCGATTTTATCACCAAGAGCGTCTACTCTAGGATTATCATTAGAAGGTTCGCCATTCCATTTGCCATCTTCACTTCTTTCAGGTACAATGTCAGTGGGTGCTGACATATCAGTACACCGAACATTGTCTGTAGAAGCGTAAAACTCCATACCACCAGCAGTTTTGCGTGGTGTCAAAATCGGATTAGTAGCATACCTTAATGCCGATTGCTTTGGAGCATTTTTGTAATGAGGATATACAACAGTATCGACTGGAATTTCAGTTGTAGTACCACTTGAAGCGATATTTATTACCTCTAAATCTCTACGTGTTCTTCTTGGATAATTATCGTTGAGAAGTTTTGCCAAATTATTCACACGTTCATTATATTGTATTGGAAGTGGTCGATAAGAACCAGATTTATGAAGCCCGGAAAAATGAGCCAAAGTTAAATTTTCAACATGACGGGTGTTTTCATACTCAGATTTATCTCGACCTTTAAGTTCTTCGGTATTTTTTATTGAGTCTTTAGGTAAATGAGGATGTCTGCTATTCCAATATACATTTCTGTCACTCGATTTAGGGCTTTGTGTCGTTAATTCAACTTTAACTCCGCTGTACCTGCTTCCGGAAGGATAATGATCATCGTGATATACATACGAATAAGGATTGTTCATTTTTACTGACTTTTCATAAGGGATTAATCTGTATATAGATGATGATTTAGTACCAGATCCTTCAAATCTGTTATTCGAATCAAATTTTGGATAACCATCTCCTTTATTTAATTTTGAATAATTGTCTTCTGATAATTGAGGAGTTTGGCCTCTATTTTTTGGATAATTTTCCCAGCTTTCAAAAGTCTCATCTGATGGTTTATAAACGTTCTTTGGTCTATTATTGAATTTTGAGTATTCAGAAAGACGTGAACTGTCGTGTTTTATGTTATGCTGTGGATTTTCATTTGATTCAATATTTGAGTGTACTTTGTTAATATTATTTAATGGTCTTTGTCCGTGATGAGTTTCATCGTTCATAGGATGTTGCTCATTTTGATAATTTGGATAAAACTCATATTTTGGATAAACACGTATAGTTGGATCTCCTCTGGAATCATAGTTATTTTTTTTAAGTCTTGTTATAAATGGTGTATCATACGTTTTAGGAGGGTTGAAATCTTTAACAAAAGTACTTGTGTACCGTGAGCCTGAATTTCCACGATTTCCTAATTCTGTTTCAATGTCTCTATGATTTATCTTTTTTTTCTCTTGGTGAGGTTCAGACTTAACGTTTGTATTGAGATGTTCCAAAGATCCACTTTGAATTGTTTTATTTTTTTGTCTTTGATTTGTTGAACTTCTGTTTTGTTTGTTAATATGAGAAACACCAGTTTTAAAATTACTCGAAGGTAAATTTATAGAATCAAAAGATAAATTTTCTCCTGAAGACTTCTTTATTTTTTTATGTTTTGGATTTATGGCACTACCATCATAATTTGTCTGAGGAATGAAATCATAATTTGAATATGATAACACTTGTGGTTTTCCAACAGTAATATCTAAGTTTTCCAACTTAGGCCTTAACTTTCTGTCTGGTTTGTTTGATGACCCTGTTTGCAATATATCAGTTGGAAATATATACTGGTATGGTGTATCGTGATTTATTGAATACCCATACTTCGTAGCATGGCCATTTAATTCGTGTAATTCCGAATTCATTTTCGATTTAACTGGTTTTTTATTTACATTATTATTTCTTTTATAATCCGTTGGTGGTGAAATTGGTATCCAGGGAGAATTATCATAACTTCCTATCACATCTGTTTGAGACTTTTGTACGTCAGCTTCCTGACGTTTTCTGGGCCTACTTCTGGTCCTGTTCATATGATCATTTTTATTTTGTCTTACCGTATTACGAGAACTATCATGTCTCATAATTGGCCTATAAGTTGTTGGTTCTACGTTATCTCTAGTTTTACTAAAACTGGGAACTCGTCTAGACTCCGCACCTTCATTTTTAGAATCTTTTTTTTCAGATTCTGTTAGATTTTGCACAACAATTATTTTTCCTCCATCAAACTTTGAATAATTTCCTGACGATTTTTCACTAATAGGGCTGCTATCATTAATAATTACTTTTCTTTTATCACCATCATCTTCATATCTAGTTTTTTTACCTGTAGTTGTTTTGTGTCGACTCCAAGTTCCCCGACCTGATGGTGCAACTGTTGCTACATGGTCTTTAGTTTCTTCTACATTTTGTGAGGAACTATTTTTAGGTCTAAAGACCTCTGTGCTTTGATTATCCTTTACTTCTTCTTCAATTTTTAATTTTTTTGAACCACCGTGGTCGTATCCGGCATCTTCATAACCTTGTTCCTCGTACACCTAAAAATTAAAAATATTAATAATTATAATAATAACTTTCTATTATATTTAAATTTTAAATAGCGTTCAATGCGTGTGGAATTCATGAAATCTATCGATTTCCCCCCTATTGTTTACATGAATAATAATAAGTGACTGATATTAACGTGGGTTTCATTTATGTCAATAGGATACGCCATTGTCCACTGATTTTTCACACAGGATTGTATTTTTAAAACATACATACTTTGTACAGCACTATAAACAGATAAAAGACCAAATTGTTGATATAAAATACCATGTGTGTATTTTATATACCTACCTATTGTTTTAAAAAATAAAAAGGTCTTGCCAATATGTTATGAATAAATCGTTCAGAATTTTAGAAACTACAAGAGAGATCTATGGATGATATTACATAGAATTCGATGAAAAATAGTCTATATTTCGATACACAATACAGGAGGCCTTGACTTCAATTATCAGGAAACAATATGAAACAGTCGTGAAATCGAGTGTGATGTGGTTTTAACTCATAATTACGTGGTTTTCGAAACCGTTTTCATATACAACTACAACAAGTAAGTACATGTATTATGACATGTGTAACGTTATAATAGAATTTTTATAATAAATAACTCTCTACTGTAAAATTAATTTTTTTTAAATAGAAAAAATGTTTGAAATTTAAAATAATTAATATTCCCTATAATAGTTTATTGATCAAATGACAGTGTTAGCATTATTTTGTTTATAACGATATAGTTCATTTTAATTTTAATAATAAATATGAAATTTACTTATATATAATTTTAATGCATATATCAATTTAATTTATTATTATACCCTGTTTAAAACAATAATTGTTTACTAGTTTACTTAATAAATGATCTGTGTCAATTAGCAAATTACTTTGTTTTAACATATATAATTGCAATATATTGTACTATACCAAAAAACTCTTAGAAATATTAGACTTCAAATACATTAATATATTAAATATTTTAAGAAATATAACTAAATATTTTTCATTTCAATAATGTTGTAGTTTATGATTAGAAAAACATTAACTCTATAAATATAACATAATGCTTAAATTAGTTTGTACTAGAGAATAGTTATATTTAAATTTTAAACATGATTCTGCAGTTTATAATATTTCACTAACCAACAAAATATTATATGATCCAATTTTATTATAACATTATGGTACCTAAAATTATTTCTGTTTTCACTCTTATTAATAATTCATAAAAACCAAAAAATAATCATATTGTATAATTTTAGTAAGTTAAAATTGTGAGTTATACCTTTAAGCCTTAAGAGGACTCTGCATAGGTATTAGTTGTCCTCGTCTTACAAGTGCGTAACATAGGCAATTTACTATCAGAAGATAACGTTTAGCTTCGTTAGTTTAAAAACTAGAGTGAATCGACCTATTATGAAATATGATGGTAAGAACATTATCTGTGTTTGTGTGTGGGTTTTAAACGATAGTTCAATATTTTAATGATTTTTGCGTAAGTACATAATATATTAAAAATTCTCATAACTCACTTAAAAACTGAATTATCGTAAAATAACCACTTGCAATTACAGGTACTGTTCTTACCATCAGGTTTCTTAATAGGTTTCACTTTAATTTTTAAACTAAAGAATTAAACGTGATCTGCTGAGCGTAAATTTTATATGTTACGCACTTGTAAAACGGAGACAACAAATATCTATGTAACATCCTCTTAAAGTAATTTATATTTGTTACTATACATGTCACTGTAGTTGTACCTGTGAGACAGTCAATCTAAGTTAACTATTGTAGAGACAATCTTTAAAAATACAATGTTAAAAGAAAAACTAAAATCTCTTCAATTATTGTTGGACTGGAAAATGTAATGAACATTATCATTGAAAAAGTAATAATCAATCATTTAAAAACCATTAATACTGGAGAACAAGGAATAGTACCTATTATTGTATTACATAAGTATATAATTATTTAATTTCCTTAAAATAAAAGGTATTAAGATCGGTCATAATTTATGCTGCACTATTTATATTTAGAAATTTATAATATTAATACAATCAATATGATTTATTAGACATTTTTTTACAAATTTCTTCATATTTCAGTAAAATTAATGTGAAAAAAACCGTTTTTGGAGGATAATGAAAGTCGCTTGGAACGTAATGCTAAATGATTCTCAATAAATTAAAAATTGTATACCTAATTTAAAAAGTCGGGGTCCAGTTTACGTATAAAATGTATACCACTTTAAAAATCGGAGCTAAGCTTTATTTACTGACCTTTTTATAACCTGTCATTATCAACACCCAATTTTTTTTTTTTGTAAACCTTTTTAAAAGATTATAGGATTTTTGATAATTTTATTTCACTATTTATAATTTTGAGGTTTTGATTTCACTTTGTCACCGATATCCGAGTATAATATTCTTAACTATATAACAATTACATTTATGAAATGCTAATAGCCAAGAAGTCGACTCGTCGACATGAAATAATGATCAATTAAAATATTTATATTTCCCTCATAAGTTAAAATTCTGTAAGTTAGTGGAAAACGTTTTTTTGCATTTTTTTTAAATCATAACACCTAGTACATTTTAATTAGACTCCAACTAACTATTGATATACAATGTTTAATGCTAACCCTGTATATACCTAGTTATCAATTATACATCGATACGATAATTATAAATAATTATCTTACTAATCAGAAAATATTTTTATTTAGAAACTATATAGAAAATAATATAATTTATAACACTTATTACCGAATTGTGTTAACTGTAAATTAACTTTATTTAAATATTTATTTTTTGAGGTACAACATTTAATTACATTTATATTTAATACATAACTGAACAGAAAATTGTACCTGCAACCTGCTAAACCTTTTTTTTATGAATATTTTATGATAAGACGTTTTTGTAAAATGCATAAAAGTTACAGTATAGGTACGCGCATAAACAATAATATACAAGTAGGTACTTAGATAATATAACGATTGTAAGTACATAACTTCTAGAAAAGAAGGAAGAACGATATGCTTTGTTCAAGAAAATTACACATATATTTATATTATAGATATTTAAAATGTGCAACGAATACCGATTCACCGATATTATTTATTATTCTTGTCTGTCTCATATACTTATATTATTGTATAAAAACCACGATAAATATTACATTTATGAAGTGGGTAGTAATCCAAGCTATACTCAATTAACAGTAAAAAATCAATATGTGTTTAGGTATTCCATAATGAAGTGCACTTTTCTTAATTTTAGGAAAAACATTGTAAGTAATTTGATATATATTAGGGACAAACTGTTTAGAATGTTTAGATAATTCTGAAGTTGTAGGTTAGTTTTAAGTTTTAGGTAGTTTGCTACATTATAGATACAATTGAGAGAAACAATAAATAAAATAGATTTTTATTATACTTATATCCTACACATTTAGCCTTCCTACTTTATCAATATAAATCTCAACGAGAAACATATTATAAATGACAAAACAATGTATTCTATGTTTAACTGACCTCTTGTGTCTTCTTGTGAGTTACAACTTCTCTAAGTCTAGGTGCATTTGCTAGTTCTTCAGAAGTTGCCGCTTCTTCCATTGCGGCCTCCTGCGGAAGCCGCTTGATAGCATCATATCTTCGAACCTGCACGTACGTCTGTTTGGGTACAAAATCCAATTTGACACTAGGAGGTGGTGTCCCCAAGTCACCGACGATCTTAACCCTCGTTGGCACGTCCCTTGGAATCTCGTGATCGGAAACATAGTTTCGGACACGGTACTCGTCTCCATCGTTAATTTTGGTATCATCACTTTCGGGAAGTATCGAGTGCACGTTTGACGATAAAGCGGCGGGACATATTACGCACAACACAAGACGTATCAGAAGCATGTTATGTCGGCATGTCAGGAGCGTCGTCACGATACTAAATCACTTTTACTCGGACTGGTCGTCCGGGAAAACCTTTCTCCGGAGTCGAACGAAGGGAAACAAAAAAACTGTGAGATAAAAAAAAATAAGTAAACATTGACCAATGTGGAAAATTCGAGCCTCCGGAACTACTGGTTGGCATGTGGTTATAAGATTATCGTCCGGTTCGTTAGCTGCAAGTGAAAACAATTAAAACCATGACAAGTAAAAAAAGAAAGAAAAATATCTATTGTCTACCTTCGTTGAATGATGTTGGTTCAACCGACAAAATGAGTATAACTATCGAAAAAATGATGAATTATAAAATATTACAGGTATTCTTATACATGTACCCACCTATATTAATAAACAAACCAAATAAAACACTGTGGTTCTACTTAAACTATTGACTATAATAAACTTATTTTTCAGATCTCCTGGTTTGATATTACATTCTTATATTTAGAATAGGTATATTTAAAATAATTGTATTTTATTTATATTTATATAGGTATATAATATTTTTGACTCAATACATTAAAAATAAGTATATATTTTATAGTATACGATGCACGGAATTAAATTTAATGCCATGAACATTAAGATATATTATTTTAAGTATTACCTACTTACTATAGTTACCTACATAACTATTAATTATTACGAGTAAAATTATTCTGCCAGTAAATACAAAATTTTTTTTTTCTCATTTAAATGTCTACCCATAGTATAAATGTACAATCTTAAATAAACGATAAAACTTGGTCAATGTCTGTGGTTACCATCGGATAATTTTTTATTCCCTACCTCATTATTTGTCTCAATCTATATTTTATCCATTGATGATCCAAACCTAGATCTTCAAAATAATTAAAATTCCTAGTTATCGGATTCAAAAATTACATACTTTAGTATTTAGATTAGAGTTTATATTATACTATCGTAAAAAAAAACAGAAACTATAATATTAATTAAATTATTAATTAATATTTAAAAATATATTAGTCGGATCAAAAGAAAAATTTGTTATATAAATTGCCTATAGAATATTTTTAAATAGGTTAATTTTATGATCTACACGTGGTTATGATTTACAGAATATATATTATTTGTCACTTATTACTTTTTACTTATGTAGGTACATTGTTTATTTTGTATGGATAGTGAATCGTATGTATATTAAAAAATTATTTTGGAAAGAATTGGTTGGCATTGTGTCTTAAAATATAACGCACAATTTTCTTTAACACGGGTTCATTTAAAATTAATTAACTTGACCGTAAACTATTTATTAGATTGATGAAAAAAAATCATAAACTTGAAATTATCTACCATAACATATTAAATTGATTCTTATATACCTTCAATTTTTCAATTTATTGTTTGAAATAAATAATCATTATAAATGATCTACAATTTATTTGGTATTAAATGGAAAATATTAAATATTAACCCTTACAGTTGTATACATTCCACGGTTCTATACAATAACCGTATAGTAGTATGAAACTGAGAATATAATAAAATAATAATTTTTTAATCATAATCAAAATCCTATACATATCTATATAGGTTCCAGTACCTATATATATATACTGTTGTGCAGTAAAATGCAGTATAACGGTGATTGTGAAAATCATATATTTCATACTACGGAGAAAAACAAATCATTTTTAATGTGTTCGTCATTCAATAGAAATCCGGAAATTGTTTTTATGTTCATCCAATGTTTGGTGATATTTACTTGAAAATGTATAAACCAATTTGTATCTATAAAATATTGTGAGTTAAATAATTAAAAGTTTTTGGGCTGGTTTTCTATTAAAAACATTTAAGTCTATAAATGCTCGGGGTATTAAAATTGAAACAAAATTATAATGCTCCTACATTTACATAATTTATTATACTGTGAATATCATAAACTAAATAGTGGGCAAGTATATAATCAGTATCAACTTTGCTGTACAGTTGGTATTGAGTGTTCTCGTCATTGAGTAAGTCCCTCTGATGTATGTGTTAAATTTTAATTCTATAATAAATCATTGCATACAAAAAATGATTTTGAGAGAAGTCAGCTCATATAACTAAGACGTATATTTTATTATATATTTAAAATATTGCTATTAAATAATAATAATATGATGGATTGAATTACATTTTGCCATAATCATTGCATTTGAAAATTTCATTGTGTATATAATAAAATAAACGTCAAAAGTTTCAAGCACCCACAAATACTATTCGTTAAATTAAAAATTCTTATTTTACGGTTTAATACATCCAATTTCGTCAAAATTAAAACTTCAGATGCTCATAAGAAATATTTGAGGAACTAAGCTCAACTTTATTTTTAAATTCCAGTAATAACAACTTATGAGCAAAATTAAAATTTTATGAATTTTTAACTAAAAAATAGTTAGAAAATATTCGTGATTTTCTTAATTTTGACGGATTTCACCAAAATTCTAACTTTAAATGCTTATGAAAAATATTGTGAAAATATTTTTTCGATATTTTTTAATTTATATAGTATGAACAACTTATGAACAACCGTAAGAATGATGAAATGTACTTATTTTGAAAAATAACATACTATTATATAATATATTTAATTTTAATAGGTTTTAATCATTCTATATTGTTGGGTTTTTTTATGTCTTTATTATGTTGAGGATCAATCTTAAATATTGTATTTTCAATACTATTTTATATAGCCATCTATTATGTACTGTTACATATTTTAAATTATTACATTAAGATTTTCTGAATTATAATATGTTTATTGTACTGTTTTTATAATAAATCAAAACAATATAATATTTTCATAAGTATGCACATGTTTGCTTAATCACCATACTAATCCATTAATTAAACGTCTGTCTTCTTGTACAATTCCCGATAATCCTAGAAGAAGATTGAAACGATCTTGGCCTAGAGATTTCCTTGCTTGATCTGTCGGGTGGTACTACTGAGTACCTTCCCTCTCGGTAATTCAACGTTATTGTCAATCAAAAAAATTACCTATTGTACATATGTTTGTATAGATTGTAATTATTCTTTTAATAAAAATAAAAAAAAAAAAAAAAAAAGTATGCACATGTAATAATATTTAATAATTAATTAAGTATAAATATAAGTACATAATTAAGTATACAGCGTGACGTTCGGAGGGTTAACATTTTAACCACTTAGGTACATAGCTCATAGACTCCTTAGGCCATAGTGAAGTACAATATTCAGATGAACCAATAATGTAGTTAATTAGCCATTAGGGCTTATTTTTGGGCATAGACCGATGACTAAAATGTAAGATTATACTATTACAAACAAACCTTGAATTCTCAGAAACGAGGTATGTTTTAAAACATTTATACTTGAATATTCATATCTAATAGTATGGTGATTGGATGAACTAAACAATCAATAGAAAGTTTATGAGTTATGATCTAATAAATAATAATAAGTATTAAAAATGCCATTAAAAAATGTATAATGACCTAATAACTAGTTCAAAATAATTAGCTTTTAATATACATATTAGAACTATTGATTTTTTAATACTTTTTCATAACTGTTTAGGTAAGATAAAAATATATTATTTCAATAATAAATTAAATATTTAAATAGCTATAATAGGTAAACAAAAAGTTTTGTTCACAAACAGATTTGTTAACTTTATGATTTTTAAAAATATACTATAGTAAATAATTTTAATATAAAAGATAAAACTATAAAAGCTAAATTAGATTGTAAAAAAAAAAAATAATAGTTTTACCAATAAAAACAACCAACCAAACTTTTTATTATAATAAAATCAATAATTTCGTACTTTCTTAAAAGGTGGTTTCGCTATAATTTACTATTTGAATGACTAGGCAATATACTTAACAGGTAAAAAAAATATAAAATCAATATTGGCTCTTTGACCGGATGCAGACTCAGCTATCGGCAAAAACCATGAATAAATATTGTTATCGTCAATATTAATTGACAACTCAGAACTCTAAGAGTACCTATTTTATGAGAATGTGATGTGATACATCAGTTTGAATATCATGTACCTAATCAAAAAATCATGTTCAAAAAATGTAAGGAAATATTAATTTTAAATTTATATTTTAAAACTATTCAAAACAATTTTATAATAAAAATAACAAATTTGGGTATTAAATATTAATATTAGTAAAAAAGTTAATTTTTAACTTTTATCTTATAAACAGTTAACAGTAAGTTAATTTTCTAATTAGAAACTAAATAAAAATGACCCATAATATACAGTTTTTATAAAGGTAGTTAAATATTACTCAATCTTATCTTTATTGATTTTACGTGCTGGATATCATTATAGATATTATTGAAGTATTATTTTTAGTTTATCATCTATCTTTTTTTTTACTGGCATTTTAAATAATAACACATTTAAAAGTATACACGACAAGGACATACTATCAGTAAGTAATTATGAATTCATGTTTGATAAGAAACGACTGCCAAAACATGATGAAAATAATACATAATAGTGGAAATATAACAACTATGTAGAATTGTAAACCAACATGTTGGACAACATTTGAGCACGATACGCATAAGAAGGTAATTAATAATTATGCTTCATTATTAACAGACATTATTGCTCACCAAGCCCAAATAACCATCAAAGAAACATTGTGAAAAATTAAACTTAAATGTGCTCAACCTTCACCAATATTCGCTAAATATAATATTTCAGAACGAAATTGTAAATTGTAACGTGATAGTTTCATCTCAAGTGACTAAAAATGCATCTAAGCAAATCGAAAAAAAAAAACAAAAAAAGGAAAAGAACTTATTATATGGAGCCAGTTTTATTAAATTTTTTTCCTCTATTGAAACTTCATTTTAGAAGCTTATTTCTTTTGAAAAATGTAATCGAAGGAGGTAATAAATGTATGGTATTATATTATTATTGAATTTCTACAAAAATTAATTTAATTTTTTAGTTTTTTTTATTACCTAGCATTTACATTTCACATTACGAGTTTTTGATATTAGATTCTGAGCGGAGTGAAAGAATGTGTTGATTTTACAAATTATATGTGTGGTTTTTTTCCCCTTCAGCAACATTTTGAAAGCAAAAATGCTCCGATTTTCAAGACCATCATCTTTTCTGATAAAAAAGTGAATCTAGTTGGTACTTTTGGTAGGTCAAAACTTAAAATCCAAGAAGTTTTAGAAAAAAAAATGTTAATTTTTAAGCTTTTTTTTTGAAAAAATTAATTTTATATTTTTGATGTAACTCAAAATTTAATAACCGTAGACACAAAATATTTATATTAGAATTTTCCATAAATGGTTATATTTTCAAAATATTTTGACTTTTTTGAACTAGTAATAGTCTTGATACATTTTTCGAATTTTGTAAATTTTTTAAAAATTATTCTGGATAAAAACTTTTTACTTACTAAAAAAGCTTGACAATTTAATATTAGGTTTCTTATGAATGTCATTAATGGAAGTTAAAAAATGTTAAAGATACATAGGCTCATTTTTTTAGATTCTGACCGGAGAGAGGAAGCTAGTGGTTTTACAATGATGTTTATTATTTTTTTTTATCCTGCATACAATATTTTTACCAGAAGGAGTGCTTTGATTTCAAATTTTAGTACCTTATATTTTAGCAAATTGGATCAAGATGGTACACTTTAGAGAGGTTTCCTCAATAGTTATTTAATGCTAGAAGTCGCTATATCACTCAGAATCGTTTTTCATATACAATGATATTATATCATTGAATTCAAATTTAAAACCATCCATTACAGTGACCCACTTGTAACCTAGTGTACAGCAGAGTGACACCCACTAGCCAACCTTTTTTAAATAATTATTATTAACATTTATAAGATATATGAATATATACATAATAACAGATAACCAAAAATATCTGAAAATATACTATATCTTATTATGAAATACATAATTCATATTGTATTATTATACTCCCGAGTCCCGAAGCGATCATAATCAACCGTTCCTATACATGTTTCTTCGTACGCTTTGTATGGTCTATTACAATCATAAAATATACAAACAAAATTGAATTTAAAAACGGTGAACTGCGTCCTTGGTCCGTCTATATCCTCCATGGCACAACTATATACTTATTAGTTAATATTATTTAGTACCGCTTCCGACTACCTACTATAAATTATATGGTCACCGAACGCTTATTTTAATCGGTTAGATACCTAGATAATCCTTTATCGAATTTACTCTCGTCCATAAATAATTGAAAAAAAATTGTTAGTATTGTTTTATTTTTCTCAGTTTAGGTTATGGCTGGTGGTATTTTTCGGTATTTTTGGTACCGGTAATTACTTGTTTTTAAAAAATACCGATATTCGGTAATTTCGGTATTTCAGAATACCGGTATCCCGTCAATCGGTAACTACCATTGTTACCGAAAATACCGCTTACCTACATTTATTATTTATTATTTTTATATAGTCCTAATGACATAATATAATAGCCCTATCCTAGGTTGAAAACTTGGAAACACTAATCAATTTGCCGATGGTTATGATATTTTTGGTAATTACCAAGGTACGGTATTTTCGATAATTACCGAGAATACCGAAAATACCGTCCAACCAGTAGGGTGGACTGTGTTTGCGCCTAAATGCCGTATTTGCGCCTATACGCAAAAACCTCGATTGCGCTTAAAATACGTTAAAATACTTGTTTGCGCACATAACGTTACAAATCAATAAATTTGGCAACAACGTTTTCCCAACTATTTTCAGTTTTGAACCACTGTGAAATATTGGGAAATTGAATTTCTATATCAGTCGTGACTCGATAGGTATACCTTCATAGGATACTTATCTTTAATCATATCTAACTTCTTATCTACATTGTCGATATACGGCATTTTACGTCGGTATTTCTAAAATCTCGATCGCAGATAGTCAGTCGTCGCTGTACTTCACTTAATAACACATTTCAGTTTGGTGTATTTTGTTTCAAAAATGACAGAAAATAAAATTTTATTAGCAAAAGGTGCGAGTAACAATTTTAAAGATTTACTTATAATCGACAGTTTTAAATTCAGAAAAGTTTATGAAAGTATATCTGGTAATGTAACTTGGCGTTGTACAATGAAATCGTGTTTAGCAAGAATAATTAAAAATGGAAATGTAACTGTAAGTAGCAATTTAAATCATAACCATAATACTGATGAAAAAAAATTAAATCGTCAAATTATTCGAAGTGCGTGTAAAAAAAGAGCCAAAGACATGACTGATCGTCCAATTAAAATTATACGTTCTGAAATTACAAAGAATAATTTTGACACGTTAGATTACGGTGACGTTAAATTAATTCGTGACAGAATGTACCCGTGTAGAAACACACAAACAAATATTCCAAAAAATATTGTTGAAGTTCAAGAATTTTTAGTATCGAATAATATGTTATCATCTAAAGGAGAATCAATGATTGCAGCAAATGACATAGAAAAAAATATTGTAATTTTTACGTGTACCACAAATTTGCAATTTTTAAGTTTGGTTAATACTATATACGTCGATGGTACATTTACTTATTGCACAAAATTTTTTTGTCAACTTTTCACAATTCATGGATTTTATAATAATCATTACATACCTCTAGTGTTTTGTTTGTTACCATCAAAATGTTGTGACGTCTTCATAGAATATGTATTCGAAAATATAAAACGTTTATGTTCAAATTTAAACTTTGAGTTTTGTCCAGTTGAAATATATTCTGACTTTGAAAAAAGCATTTTAAACTCTGCATCTAATATTTGGCCGGATATAAAACTTTCCACCTGCAGATTTCACTTGGGGCAATGTTGGTACAGAAAAATTCAAAGTCTTGGATTAACTAATATGTATAAATCTAATAGTCCAGAAGGAAAATGGTTACAATATTGTTTCGGTCTTCCTTTTTTACATCCACAAGAAGTATCAGATTGCTTTTTGGAACTAATGTCTGAAATTCCAGCAGAAAAAAAAATACAATCATTTGCTGATTATTTAGTTGAAAATTTCGTAAGCGAAGATAGTCTATTTCCCCCTGAATTATGGGCAAAAGGTTGTAATAATCTAACACAGACAACAAACGCATGTGAATCATTTCATAAACATTTTAATTCATATTTTTTTAACGCTCATCCATCAATCATAAAATTTGTGGAAGTTCTAATAGAATTTCAAACAGATACATATTTAAAAATAAATCTTGCTAAAACAACAATAAAACAAATAAAAAATAAAGCAGTTATAAAAAAACACCAGGTTATCAACGAATTAAGAGATACATCAACATCAACAATTATCTTCATAAAAAATATAAGTAACAAAGTCAAAGTAACGCGAAAAATTTTAATTTTATTTTATTAAAAATATAATAGGTGCCTGCAGGTGCCTATATAAGAAATAACAACGACGAACGCAACAGAACAGTGAAGAAAAATTTAAATTTAAATTTATTGAAAATATAATAGGTACAGTAAAAAATAATAACTACACAACAGAACAGTAAAGACAAATTTTTAACCACACCAGAAATCAGAATAATTCATTAAATTTTATTCTGTCAGTTCGAAGTCTGAAAAAAGTGGGACGAGAAATTTAAGTTTTACTGCAATGTTGCCAAATTTATTTATTTTTAACCTAACTAGGCGCAAATAAGTATTTAACGTATTTTAATTTTATTAAGCGCAATCGAGGTTTTTGCATATAGGCGCATATATGGTATTTAGGCGCAAACACGGCCCTCCCAACCAGTAATACCGTAGATATAGGTAGTAAAAAAATACCGGATAAAGGTATCAAAATTTGAAATACGACCAGCCCTAGTATAGGTAATATAATCATTTTAGGCAATATTTTCTTCTATTATATTAGATATTTATACTATGATTCATAAACATCAAATATTGTAATCATCATCATGGAATCATCAACTTCTTAAACAGCTTTATTTTTTCGATAGTTTCAAATAGTTTAATATTATTATTAGGTACTATTGTAATCATTCTCAAATATTTTTTTTATTAATTATTATTGACGTTGATAAATTTTAAGTATGTAACAAAAATATTGAAATTCTATATTTTTGTTTAACTTATATTATTTTTACAACATAAATTATTTTGAGAATAAACAGAGGATATTCAGAAAAAAAAGTTTCTCTTTTTATTTAACTCTATTCATATATTGTATTTTATTATTTGTATTTTGTTTAGATATAATATTATTGTCCGATCACCGCTTTCATGGTGTCGTCGTATAGGTACGACTAGACGTCATGTCGTCGTTTATGAACTAACTGTGTACCAATGTGTTATCGCTGAAGTGTTATAAATTCAAGGCGTTTATTAACAATACCGTAGATAATTTTTTTAAATTATTAATGAAACAGATAAGATAGGTAATATAAGTTTTAAAAGAATGTCCTATATTTATTATCACAAAGGCAAATATATAGGCACACAAGACTATTGAAAAAAATTACCTTTTGAATACTGAACAATAATATAAACTCATGTTTTTTTTTGTGGGAGGGGAGGGTCAACATAAATTTTTAGTTCCAATAAGTGGTTATAATTTTATTTCAACATTGGGTCATTAGAACTAAAATACTAGGTACCTTACAATATACATCGATAGTCGTCGAAATCGTATTCTTGACACATCTATATGTGTGTATATGGCTGTATGAATATACCTAATGGCTAATAGTGTATAATAATATAACTTATAACCTCTCCTGACACAGATAATCATTAATACCCAAATCACGTATACACGTAACCTCTTAAATAACCACTTATAAACCCTTGATATTTCGTTTTATTGTTCAATCAAACAGTAGTCATTGTTTGTAACTAATGAAACGCAATTCGATTACAAAATCTAATCACCTGATAATAATAAACAGTCCATGTTATTCAATTTTAATTCGTATTATGGGACCTATACTGCTGTTTATTTAAATTCAAAACTAATTTTCAGTAAAAAAAAATAAACTCGTGTGTAAACGAATGTTTAATAAATTCTAATCGAATTTTCCACGGAAAAAACATATACCAACTGGTTTATGGTAATGCCCGGGCCCGCGTAAACAACTCGAGGCTAATACACAACATAATAAATTAATAATTAATAGTACATTACAGTATTAGACTTATTTAGACATTAGCACAACAGGGTTGTTAGTGTTTTAAAAAAAAAGTTTAGATACTACAGGTATTAGACTTCATATTACATATAACTATATAGGTAAGCAATTAAAATTAAAAATTTACATTTACATTTAACTCGGTATACTAGTATACTACGATTCAATATGGCATTATATGCTGAAAACGTTATTATTATATACCGCGATCTTTTATTATTAGTTGAGGCGTATACATGGGCGCAAATCGCAGGGGGGCTAAGCAAGATTAGCCACCCAAATATTCCATTTCCCCCCCTCAAAAAAAAATTATTTAGTTTTTGAGTTGTGTGGAATCGAGGCCCCCCACCCCCACTTACATTGATATTAAAAATGTTAGGCCTCCCAAAAGTTTTAATGAATTTTCACTTATGGGTGTAGGGCTAGGGGAATTCACAATTAATTTTTATTGCTCAGCAGTCAGCATATACCGTAATAGGAATTGAGTTGGATCAACATTTGTTCATCAAAGTTTATTACCTATATTATAGATACTTTATAATATTATTGTAAAGTAATTTATTCTTTGTTAAAGTTATTTTAAATAAAAAAAACAAAACAGACCAAAAAAAACGTGAGCAGTTATAAAACACCAGCAGAGTAGTTAGTAATTATCTATAGGTATGTATATTATACGAGTAGCAAGTACCTATAGTAAAAATAATATTTTATTTTCTTTCTAAGATGAAAATAATTTAACTATTATGAATAACTCCGAATAATAGGGAATAATCCTCAATGGTCGGTTCAACAGGTTCAATATACTACAGCTTACCTACAAGCACAACTACCTCAACGCCGATTAAAACGGAGACGGCCTCGTGACCTTTTTAATAAACTATTTGTCTGCTCAGATAAAACGTCCAACTTCTATTATGTTTACAACCACTTATTAATTATTATTATTTATTAATTATTATATTGTACCATTAAGTAAACTTGAATATCTGATAACTATTATTATTATCTTCTTATAGTATAAACACCGTTGATTTATTATTTATCATGTTAAATAGTCAAAACTATAAATAATCTCTATATAATATTATGGATGTAGATAGCCTAGGCTCCTAGCATTTTCTTAGTGCGTGGTTTATATCAACATTCAATACCATAATATAGGGTCACGGTATTTTTTTGTGGAACAGAACAATTTTATTATTATAATTTATTATTATCTATAGTGTTGGGTGTTTTTTTTTTATTATTCATAATGTACTATCCATTATTTTATTGCCTATGGTCGACTGTGACGTGTCGGACGTCTTGGTGAACTTCATGGGCCCCTGGTACGCAGTGGACTCGTTTTGTGGAAATTCTGACAGACCTGTCGTGTCGAGTGTCGAGTGTCGAACCCTTCGTGTGGCCGGTCCGTCGTCCGCCGGTGGTTCTGCCGCAGTGCCGCATATTACCCTGGTACGCGGACGCGAAATATCGCATGAATTCGTTGCGCGGTGACATTTCCGGCCCAACCAAATTAAACCGTTGTATAGGTACGGGCACGTTTTACAGGCTGAAGTCAATATTGTTGTTGTTAACAATATTGCCCGCGCTTTGTAACGGCATCGGCGGTGGCAATGATGTTACTTTCACGGTACGCCGTCGACGCGGCCGCCGCTTTATGCGTTCCTGGTACAACCGCGGCGTGTGCTGAACATGATGGCATCTCGTTTCCGGTGACGACGGTCGTTGTGGCGGCTGACCGGACGGCCACACGTCGTGCACATCGGCGGCAAGGCACGCAGCCATTCATCTACACCGCACCGGACCCGTCGATGACTCGCCCAGCCATTGCCATGTTTCCCGTTGTGCTCTTGAAATCGAAAACCGTCCTTATGATACCAATAATAATTATAATATTATCCATAAAATATAATAGTTGTTTTTAATTTTGTTCCAAATACCAGTCATATTATTAAAATAGAAAATAATAGACAATACCGATTTGTGATTACCGACACTCACATTTTGTATTTTTATCGTGGTGGTGGAAAAAATATGAAGTTCAACACGACAACTATACAACTGAGTACAATGGCAAGTGGCAGTCCCATCGGCACTAACCAACTACGAGTCATGTAAAGCACATACAAAGCCTGTATTATTATTTTCATCAATTTCTGCGATTTTTTTCGTTTCTGATTCAATTTTTTTTTTTTCAGTATTAAAATTTATAAAACACTGCAATTAGGTCAATATTAGATTCGTTTGTTCGTCATGAATACTAGTGGTAACTACTAAACTACTAACTGATGACTTATGATTTATGAGTTTTCGAGTACTCCAAAAAAAATGTTTTTAGTTTTACTAGCGCTGCTTTTATAATAGAGCCACACAGGTTTGCAAACACACGTGCGATTTTACTAAAGTATAAAACTGTTAGTTATGTGGTATATTATATAAATTATGAACAAAGTGTATATTGCAAATAATTGTATTTGTACTGTAAAATAAAAAAATTGGGGATATATTTTTGCTCTGGATTCGTGGCCGCCTCGTGCAGTGCAATAATATTTAATATAATATCTTAGACTATTTATTTATCAAAATGTGGGGAAGTACTGGGTAGGGGTAAAAATATTGGAAAATATCTATAAGACATATAAATATATAGTTATTAATACTATATTTTATTGATAAGTCGTCGATCGTAGAGAAGGTATGGACATTGGACAACGAATATTATACGTCAAAAATATTCAGAATTTATATTATATGTGAATAGGTAGGTATATTGTCCGTTTTTACTTGTCTTAATATTATGTATTATGTTCTGTACACTGTACAGCGTACTTCTATACCCATCATCGATGATCCAGTTCTTCGGAATATGTAAATATTTCCTATAGAGTCTAGGATGTTAACCCTTTTGTTCAATATTAAAAAATTAATTAATTAATTAATTAATTGATATTTTTCTATTAAATACGTTGTTTGTTAAATTAACATATGAATATAATATACAATTTACAAAATTATAAAAGCATGACTGATTAATTATTACGTTTATTATAATTGCATGATGTAAATAATATGTAATTGATACACAAAGAGAGAATGGACACACAATAATAAACACAATATAGGCTTTTTGGCTTATACCCTAACAGAATGTATAGCCACCGCTTAGCTGTCGGCAATATCCAGGGATTATTGTCAAATGCAATGTCAATTTGACTGATATGATAAGTTTTCAATGCGTGTGATCGAACAATTCAAAATGTATTTATATAAATTTAAAATAAAGTAATCAAAATATTATATGTTATTATAATTGTAAAACTTTATCACAAATAAAGAAAATCATACTAAGAGAAAAAATTCAACACTGATCGTGTACAAAAAATTTCTATCAATATTATAGTTATAAAAAATTATGATATAATCAATTAATAAATATTATTTAATATTTATTGAATTTTAAATTACAAAGTATGGATTAATAAAATAAATGCAATAATTATAATTTATACAAAATATTAACTATTTTGCTAATAAATAATTAAAACTAATAATAATTATTGTACTTAAGTATATTTGAATAGATTAATAATTATTCAATTAATTTAAATATTTATTTCACTATTTTGTAGATCAATAATAATATCTGAAATTCTTCGTAGTATTATAATAGCCGACACAATATTATTGCAAAGTGAGACATTTTTGTTGCTTAGTGTAAGTTATTTTTTTATGATTGACATTTCTAAATAATAAATATTCATTTTTTTTTTATTATTATAAGAGCCTAGGCTATCTACATCTATGGAATATACAAATTATTGAGTTTTTAAAAAGAAGATCTGATAAGTAGTTCCAGAGACCAGAGTTTAGCCTGTAGAGATTTTCATTTCACATTTATATAGTTAACTTGTAGTATTGAATGTCATATAACTTCTTAACTATAAATTATAATATATACAGTGCATAGTATTATTCAATGAATTGTATAATGTGTACAGTTTAAGAGGAAAAGTATAAGAAATATCAATTCCGAACGGAAATACTATAAAATAGTTTAGGGGGCATCTCAAAATAATTAATGACATTATATTATAGTGTAATATTATGATGGCCTCTTTTAAATGTCTCAAACACACAATTCTAAAATCCAAGACATGCCACTGTACCTGTGAGACTAACCTGTGAGACTCTGTACTACGAGGACACCGACTGTGCTATATAGCGAAAAATCGTTGAACCGTACAGTAGTTAATGAATAAGGCTATCAAGTCATTTTCCATCACGTTTTCTTACATTATATTTAAAAATATTCTACGTTCCATAATATTATATCGTGATACGTAAGTACCTATTGAACTCCTGAACAAACACATTTCTTCCTTACTGTGTTATTTTTTTAATAACGCACATTAGTCAATATGTTTTATTTTAATTATATTTACAAGTATGATAATAAAGCCATAAAGGAAATTTAAAAAATATGTTTTATTGAATCAAGGCTGTTATTTGTTAATAGTATTAAAATAACCAATGTATAGTCACATTAAATCCACTATATTACCAATTATATTGTAGGTACAACGTACAAACGTACAATAGTAAGTACATAATATTATACTGTTCCTGCGACACATCAAGTATTCACCAAGACAGAATATTTGTAAAGCACCGAACCATACAGGAACCCGGCATTATAAAAGTAAAATACTTAGGAAAGTAGATACCTAGTCCGTAGTCGAATAGTCCATAATATTATATTCAATACTTCACAATACTATAACCTATTGTTAATTAAACCGAATTATTAATTAGTAATATTTCGAGTCCTGCACTCCTGAGAATATTGGTGCCGGTAATTTTGATTTTATTGTAACTAATAACCAGTAACCACATTGATTCCATTGAACTTATTATTTTTAAATTGTCCTTTATAACAAACTTTTAAATTTGAAAAAATAAAACACATTATTAAACGAACGCTGGTAAAAAAAAAAGAGTAAGAAAAAATGTCTTTAATCAAGAGTTGTTAGCGTCAATTAATTTGTTTTCCATATTATAGCTATAAATAAATTACGCGCATAATTATGTTTTCTTAATTATATTCAGATTCAGCTGTGCTTTTTATTATTAAAAGCCATAACGGCCAGGCCTGTGAGCATGATTTCATCGTGGAGGGTAAATTACTAAAAAAAATAAACGAAATAATAAATTCATTTTGAGAGCTCTCACCATTGTCACCGCAACGAAATAAAATATACAAAAAAAAACACAAAAATTTCGCTATCGCGATAAGAATAGCTTGGTCGCCGGTCGGTCACACACGAGTACATGCTACTATCATGCGTATTTATATTGTTTTATCTTTGTAATTATTGTGTACGATCTGTGAGTTGTGCCTACACTTGTAGGTATATTATGGTTTTATACTTTTATAATATGAAGATAATATACCATATACCATATTATACACAATACACGAGTACACCACACGTTATTGCCCATCGGCCACCACACTCGCCAGTTACGCGAATAATATTATTTTAAAATACGGCCGCCGTGAGTACATTGGAGTACAAAAATATTATGTTTATCGTTTTATTTTTACTCTAATAGTAAAAATTATTTTTTTTTCGTTATTAGTCTCATCATTGCGTCGACCAGACTCACATTCATCATCATTCAAAATCATTTATTATGATATATCTACTTTTATTTCGCTTTTTTATTATATTAGGTTTTTGTTTATGCGCTAATCGCCCAAGCTTATTATATTATTTTGTGTCTTGTGTGCACAAATTGCTGCAATTTGGTATATTATGTATATATTTAATTACAATTATTTATTTTTTGATTCTATAAGTGTCAGCCGTAAAAACTATTTTCAATCCCTTTCCTAGTTAAAACTAACATTTTCCAATTTTTTTTAATTTCAAAATTGTTCCTCAACGATACCATAAGTTATCTAGCATAATTTTTAAATTCTCTCGGAAATCCTTCCATCACAAAATTTTAAAACAAGTAAAATATGTATTGAAGTAACCTTCAATATCCACGTTTATGTTACACGATGCCCACTTTATACTATAAAACGATGATTTTTTTTGATTTTTTTTATTTCTTATTAATTATTTGCTTTGCAGATATGATGTAATTTAATGAATAATTTATAAAAGAAGAAGAATATTATTTGAGGAAATTTATGAAGCTATTGGTTTATTTTATATCGTACTCTTTTTGTGTAGAGCTCTAGGGTACTATAATATGTAAGTAGATCTTTCGAGTAGTTACATCAAATAACCTACGAATATTAACTTTGCCCTTTGGGCTTTATTAGTTATAAAAAATAAAATATGTATTTATGAAAATAATTGTGTATAAAAATATTAGCGTATATTTTTAAACCATGTTCAATTTTTTTAAGCACATACATTTTTGATTTTTTTAATACCATTAAGTTTCGAACCAGGGCTTGAAACCGGTAACCGATTTTTCCCGGTAACCGGTTACCATGAGTACTTTTTGGACTGGTATCCGCTTCCCGGTTCTCGAGTTTCAATTTTGAGAAGCGGTTATCAATTACCGGTAATCACGGAATTTGATAAAGGGGGAAATCTATAACGGTAACCGTTTATTTTTAGAACCGGTTAATTAATCGGAAGTATACAAAACCGTAAATCTCAAACCAATTAACTTAAAAATAATTTTTTTTTAATTATATTGAATATTCTAAATAGAAGAAAATAATATTTATAAAATACTAAAATAGATTATTTTAGAACTACTAAGTATTAAAATTTAAAAATACCAAAACAAGCGTGTTTGATTGCGGAATCGTATCGGCGCACTAACAAAAGATTCTCAGTAGTCAGTACCTATGATATAGGTAATACTGATACGAATGGTAGAAACATCGACGAATGCGGGCTGATACATATAATATATATAATAGTATATAACTCTTGCATTTACGATATTGTACCAAGTACTAGGTAATAGGTAGGTTATATAACTTATAATCAGGGACTGTTTTAATATTCATTATTTAATAATAAGTTCTTTACATTAGTTCGTAATAATAGTAATACTGAACAAAACTGTGTAGTACTATTCTAAACATGTTAAGTTTGATGAAAAAAATAGAGTAGGTATTAAAAAAAAAAAAAAAAAACGGTTTTGTGAGGTAACCGGTAATTTTGAAGATTTAAAACCGCTTCCAAATAGATAACCGGTAATCCCATTTATAAAATTTATTTCGGTAAGCGGGAAATGATTATCATTATTTCTAAAAACCTCGATAACCGGTAACCGGTTCCAAAAAATTTTCCGGGTCCTGCCGGACCCGGTAACCTATTTCTTCAGGAGCGGTTTCAAGCCCTGTTTCGAACCATACATAAGTAGGTACATAACAATAATATTATGAATTATGATTTACTTTACGGGCGGCGAATGGCGAACACGGATGCAGTACGTTATCGTAGCGCACTAGGTACAGCTAAAGTGGATTGACGTACAACGCTGACACAATATGGGCCCCTGGTACCGGTACGGTACTAACCCACAGATTCCGCCGGGTTAAACGCCGCCGGCCGACACCGGCCTGCAGGGCCGACCACCGTAGATTGGGCCTCGGTTGTGTACGACGCCGTTTCGGATCCGTTTCACCATGCGCGTCCGACTAGGATACCATAAGCCAGCGACGACGGCGGTCGGCACGGGACACGCTCGGCGTCGGCAATCGCTTCGGCGGCGACACATCACACGCGTACACACACGCCCGACACGGTTTGCTTTTTGTGCTATAGCACATGACGTGTGTCTGTCCACCGTGCAACGTAGCGCCGGTTATCAGGATCGCAGCAATCGCAGTGACTGCGGCGGTGGGTTAACCGTTAACGTATTATAATACTGTTGTTATTAGTATTATTTTTGTTATTATTACTATAATAACATTCGTTGGATGTCCGTATAGCGTCACAGATAATACATATTATCTTTTATTATAATTTATAATGTATTACATTGCTAATTGCAGCTGTCTACGTATGTCGTATATGCTTATTGTTTACTATTGAAATTAATGAAATCTTAATTTTCAACCGATCGTCGTATTTATGGGAATTATAGATATATTAATTAGGCACTTATATCTATACTATAAGAGTCTGCTGCACAAAATAGTACTGGTTGGACCTCTCTTTCCCACAACAATTTGATTGATAACGTTGTCTCTTTTCAACATAAAGTGCATGTGCACAAATCAGCAGTGCAGCCAACTGTGTTTTTAATTATTTACATTTTATCACTCAAAGGAAGATCGGGCTCCTTGACATCGTTCGAAGGTACATAATATGAGGCGCGTTTCTATGTTGAAGTTTAAAAAAAATAATCTTTTGCACGGGCTACGCCAGGTGGGACAGCTAGAATTAAGTAAAAAAGACAAACTTGGCATAACATTGATACTTTAGAGTTAAATCATACACTTATGTACACACTGCACGGGATTCGTGATCTACCACAGGTAGATTGCCTATACTTGATAATGTACTGTTGAGAATCAGAATTTTTATTCGGGGCAACTGAAAAGTTAAGATAAATTTTGAACACCACACACCGAATATTAAATAACGAATTGTGCACGAAGTGCACGGGATCAGCTAGTAAATTATAAATAAATATATATAATATATAATATTATTAAATGTTTAAAAATGCCTAAAGATATTATATTTGTTGTGCCTATATAATATTTTAAAAAATGTAAATACATTCTGGTTTACAAAAATAACAAACATCTTGTAGCCAAGTGCATATTATTTGTTTGGAGAATTTATTATTTTGTCTGTGTCACAGTAATTATTACTAATCAGTATTCATATTTTGTTGCGTCTTGCGAACATTACGAATAAATTTACCTACTTTCGTCTAAAAGTTAAATCGTATTTCCATAATATAATCTGTTTATTCAACGTATAACATTTAATATCAACATGTCAAATAGTGGAGCACACGCAAGTAATTCATCAGTTATCCAGAAACTGTCAGCGTAAGAAATTATGCAATTGGTTTTTGAAGATCTTCGGTCAAATAGACCCAAACCGTTAAATAGTCGCAATTCAATAGTTTGCCGATACACAAACGGTTTATTTCGTTACCCAACATGGACGTGAGGACAAATCCCTCGGCCTAAGCACCACAGAGATCAGATGGAAGTCTACACCAAATATAATACTACCGATTTTCGACGATATCCAAGAAAATAAGCAGGAACAGTCGGGAAGCGGTGATTTCAATAGTTTGCAGGTGCACAAAAAGTGTAACACCGTTAACGAACACGGCCTTACCAAAAGATTCCACTGTCGAAGCACCAGAGATCGGGTGGAAGTCCACGGCCGAAATTATGATACCGGTTGCAGACGATCTCCGGGAAAATACACAGAAATCTCCGGAAAGCTGCGATTTCCATGGTTTTCCGCCGAAGAAGAGATGTCTGTCATTACCCAATATGGCCGTGAGCGCAAATTGCGATGCTCCCGAGGTCAGATTGCCGTCAGTTACGCCTGTGGAGTTGCCAGTTTCAGCCGATTCACCGGGTGCCGGATAACTATTAGCCCCCCCCCCTATCAAGTCTCTGGAACCTCCCCTGAGTTTACCGTACAGCATACTGTACCTGTAATATACGTATACTGTAAAGTAGATACCTAGGTGTATACAGGTATCTGTAGGTACCTACTTATGCACTTGTCATATGTTTATTTAATCGGAATTATTACTTGAATGATTTCAGAATTCCTGTGTTAATCTCAAACTGGAATATACTACAACAGTACGTCCGAAAGGTATACTACAATAAATAATAAATTAATAAGTGAAATTAATCAAGAAAAATTAGTTATAGTTATTAAATATTCCATCACTTATATTCGTATGATTAAACCACATAAATATGAAAATGAAGTGTTTACAAACCAGCAACTGTTATTAATGTACTATTAAAATGTTTAAGACCACACAATTCGGGTTAACGATACAGATGACGAAATTATGCGTCCGGTAAACAGTTTCCCAACTTTTCTCAACTATAATTAATAGTCGAGTACTTTTCAAATCCGAATGCTAAAAAAATAATAACTAACAGATGTGAACGTTAAATGTTGATCAACAATACTACATATAACATATTATTGTAGTTCAAAATGTCATAATAATAATCAGTTGCGCACTAATAACTCAATAGGTTCATTATGTTCAATATTGCATCTTTTTTTTATACATTGCATGCAATACCGATTGAATAAACGGTATAACCTATTATAGGTATAAGATATGTTATCCGTGGACCGTGGTTACTGCGCACTAGACGGTAACAGTTCGGATATTTTTTGTACATTGTATAGACTCGTGTATAGTCTCATTCCAGTCATTTCATATTAATAAATTATTATTATAACATTTATTTTTTTTATTGCTTGCTTACTGGTTTAAGTTTCGTCGGTAATCTTATATTTTTAGCCGCACCACCCATTTACTTGTTTTTTAAGTCAGATTTTGTTCAAATTGAAAGATTAATGTAAACACGCTTCACGAAAAAATAAATTTTAATTTAGGTAGGATAAGGTACACTACAGGGCCTGTTTGGCCCGACGGGTTGTCGATGTAAAACTCGGTGGCCGCGACAATTTTGGGCCGTTCATGTCATGAGGGGCCGCATTGACTAAAAATATGTTAAGAATTAAAAATTGAAGAAATTGAGACTCTAAAATAAAATGACTATGCACGTAATAAGAACGTACCCAAGGGCCGCCAGTTTTTAAACGGACTGGTACAGTACGGAAAACTAGGTGTGCCGAATTTGTCCAACCCGGCCGTGAGTACACAACTAAATTAACACAATACGCAGAATAGTTTACCATACACGACTGTGGCAACTCATAAGTTAACTGTGTATGAAGTATGGTATCAATGGACAATGATAATTAAACTATCTGTATTAGTTTTGAAGAACGATCTTAAATCCTTCAATCAAAAAATATAATAAGTTAAATTTGTAGTAAAAAAGCCTTCAACAGGTATGTCGCCCACACCTATGTAAGTAAAAAGTAACATTTTCCGAATTTTTTTTGTATCAACGTTAATACCGCTATTTAAATAGAGAGTTGCGCCCATTTGCAAAGGAAAAAAATAAGCTCCTTCTACCTAATAATCAAAGTAACAGAAATGTCGTTTTAAAACAGTTTTCAACCCGTTCACTCACTGTAATTAAGATACTTGAAATTTTTTTTTGCCAAAAGTGTTACTCAATGACGGTTTAAACTATCTGTATTAGTTTTGAAGAACGATCTTAAATCCTTCAATCAAAAAATATGATAAGTTAAATTTGTAGTAAAAAAGCCTTCAACAGGTATGTCGCCCACACCTATGTAAGTAAAAAGTAACATTTTCCGAATTTTTTTTGTATCAACGTTAAGACCGCTATTTAAATAGAGAGTTGCACCCATTTGCAAAGGAAAAAAATAAGCTCCTTCTACCTAATAATCGAAGTAACAGAAATGTCGTTTTAAAACAGTTTTCAACCCGTTCACTCACTGTAATTAAGATACTTGAAATTTTTTTTTCCAAAAGTGTTACTCAATGACGGTTTAAACTATCTATATTAGTTTTGAAGTTCGATCTTAAATCCTTCAATCGAAAAATATAACAAATTAAATTTGCAGTAAAAAAGCCATCAACAGGTATGTCGTCCACACTTATGTAAGTAATAAGTAACATTTTCCGAATTTTTTTTGTATCAACGTTGAGACCGCTATTTAAATAGATAGTTGCGCCTGGTTGCAAAAGAAAAAATAAGCTCCTTCTACCTAATAATCGAAGTAACAGAATTGTCGTTTTAAAACTGTTTTCAACCAGTTCAATCACTATAATTAAAATATTTGAATTTTTTTTTTGCCAAAAGTATTACTCAATGATGGTTTAATAACAGTGCCAATCGGTTGTTATTTTTACAACTTGTATTAATTTTAGATTTTAGAAATAAAACTATTCGGTATTACCATACTTATTATTATTATTGACTATTGTTATACCCTCACACAAACAAACATAATATGTAAATATACATACCTACATACAATGTGTACGTCTCCCCGCATACGCCTAAATATAAATTTATTCCAACTATCAACTATTAGAAAAAATTTATCATTGTGACAATAATGTCTTAGTACATACTATAATATTTTTTGAAAATATTATAAAATAGACATGCTTTTGCACTGATGAAATATAATAATGGTAAAACGGCCAAAACTCGGCACCGGCCTATCGGGCCGCTTTTAAAATCAGACAGTGGCAAATGTCACCTTGCCCCCCCTCCCCCCAAATGACTCCACTGTATAACCATCTGCCATATATGTAGGTACTGCATACGTCGCCACTCATGTCTGCATTACTGCACTAAATTTACAAGAATAGTATTAGAAAATGTTTAATAATGTGTTTGGAAAATAAATCGTATAAGATGATAATTTATAACTTACTGTCCTAAATTCTTTATTTTTATCACGTGAATCACTTTTTTCGAACAGTTTTAAAATTGAATATTATCCTAATTTATTATTTAACCTTTTATGGCTTTTATTAGCTTGTAGATAATAATAACATGGCCTATATATTGTCTCAAATCCTTTTGTACTTTCCCATCATTGTTACTTGTTAGACTGAACATGTTTAGATATCGGTTAGTAATAAACCTTTCTAATAAAAATGCAATCTGTGGTTTTATACTACAAACCTGATCATTGAAACCACGACAACATATTATATAGATTTAAGTAGAAAAGAAACGTTAAACCATTATTATAGATGAATAAGTGTTAAAATATATTTAAGTAGACAATAGTCCATTAAAAATGTTTTTTAAATATTACAGAACCGAGTAAATTCCAATCATACCAAAAAAATGATTATAATAAAATTAGTAATACGTGACAGTTGGTGAGTTTCACCGACCTAGGTGGATATAATATTGTGACAAAAAACCAGATCCATTGTACACCAGTAATATATATTTTGAGCATTGCCTATTGAGCATAATATTATAACAACTATTTTTAGACACGATTGAGCAAATTAGTTGAAATATCAAAGCCCAAAAGATTGAGCAAAAAAAAAAAAAAATATAAATATATACTACGATTATGCCATACAGTCCAATCGGCCCTGCTGAAAGTACAAAATTAGCGAGTTGGTCAAATTCCAACCTCGTACAAAGGCACAGCAGGCCAGTCCGTGCACGTTTAACTGGTATTCATTGATACAGTACGTTAAACAGTTTATCATTTATCAAAATAGGTTTACATAAATATTTTGTAGTAGACGTCGATTTTGTTATAATTATATTATATTTAGTTATATTTATAAACATTTTTTTATTTTATACGCATATTATTATTATTTCATCGGTATTATATAACCGTGGATAAGAAACGACGATGATGTATGCCTATATGGTTTTCAAGACACAATTTATTGACGTGGAGATTGACCTGTGAAACGTACATCGGCAGCCGCCGCCGTGACTTAATGCTCAACCATGTTGTCAACGAACATGGGATGTGGCAACCTTGTTTTAAAGATTATATGCTTAATAGTGTCATAAAAAAAGGTATATTATGCTCAATCGTCTGCAACGGGCTGTGTTGAGTGATTTTTTTACCCAATGCAATGATTTTATCGTTTCGATATCACTGTTTATAGGTATTATACATTTTACCCATAGCTCTATGGGATCTTATTTCCGAGTGTTGGAAATGGGAAATAAAATATCCCTATGATAAAATACGAAAAATATTATATATTTTAATTGTATTAGTTATTTGTTAATAGTTATTACTTATTATTTATCAAGTTATAACATGATTATATTTTATTCCATATTTCCATGCATATAAATATAATTATTATAATTATTAATTAATATAGGTTAAGCCACTGTATTTTCCTATTTTACTATATTAAAACGAAAATAGTAATACGACTAATACGACAAAACTTTCAGGAAATTTATTTATGACATTAAACATTTAATAGATGATATAACTATTATATTATAGAGTATTTTTTGCAACTCGAGTTCTCTTCGAGTTATGCGCTAAATCAGACTTTCGTTTGCTATAGGCATATCGTAAAATTAATAATATTGTTTATTAATAATATACTCGAACAGATAATACAACTACCCAACTTAAAAAAAGAAAGATGAAAAGGTTGTTAAATAAACAAAGAAACGACAATGTTAAACAAGATTTTTTCTTTTAAAATTAAAATCAACTTTTTTTGGGTAATTACTTATTATAATGCTAATTTATAAAAAAAGAAACAGTAAAAAATATTTATAGCCTAAATTATCACTAAAATAACAAACACAATGAGATTCTAAACAATTGTATACTTAAACAAATTAAATACGAAATAGAACATTACTACATAACTACTATCCATTAAAAAATATGGACACCTATTTCAAGTAATCTAATAATACCTACGTGACAAACAGAGTTACTTTAGCATTCATAATATTAAGTATGGATTGACTTTATGATCACAATTTTACATCACGGTATAATTCTTCGTGTATACCTAAGTTAATCCTTGTTATTATTGCA